CCCCCCCTCCCTGGCCCCCCCCCTCGTGTGCAAGAGTCCCTGTCCAGCCCTGGCACCAAAGCCCAGCACGGCTGCCACGGCTCCGGCCCAGGGCACAGGCAACAGCGACTGTTCTGGGGCAACGCTCCAGCCGCAGGCATGCGCTCAGCTGGAGCTGCAGCAGCTGGGCTGCGCCGAGACCCGAAACCAGGGGATTTCTCAGCTGCTGGAGGGATGGAAGGCGAATCCCTTGCCCTGCCCTCCCTCCACCAGGCATTTCAAGCAGATCAAGCTCTCCTTGTGGATGGGCTGGAGCCTGGGGTCTGCTCTAACACCATCATTCTCCAGAGGGGAGCTGAGGGCAGCAGGTCCTGCCTGGCTGCCCGTACTTACCCATGCTGCAATCATGATGATGAGGGCAAAGAGGCAGGGACCCATCATGTTCCACACCCCTCTGCGGTCCAGCTGCAGGGACATGGCAATTAACAGGGTCCCCAAGACGAAAAGGACCTGGGAATGAGACACCACCACCATCCTCAGCAGCTCGGCTGCTGGCAGAGCTCAGGCAGCCTGCCAGGGGCAGGGAGAACCTCACCTCCTGGCTACCCAGCCCTGCATGCAAGCAGGGCGCAGGAGCAGCGCCTGCAGAAGGAGAAACCAGAGGACCCACAAACCTTCCCCACAAACCTCAGTCCCTACAAGCAAACCAAACCCCTGGGACAAAACAACCCACTGGTTTAGAAGTCAGGGTGGCATTAGGTGACAAACAGGCTTTGCCACCAGGCTGGGCTGTGTCATTAAATCAGAGGCGTGAGAGGGCTCAGCATGGACACCTGTGGCTTAGCTGGCTCAGGTCTGGCCTGGCCACGTGGGGTTACCTGACACTCACGTATTTCAGGATCTTCTTCACCCGGGACATGCACAGGATCGTCACCCAGATGGACACCACAGAGCCCAAGAAGTCACAGTACTGTAGTGTGTCGTAGTCCATGATGCACATCACCGCAATGCCTGGCTGGTCACACGCGTGGTAGAACTAGAGCCGGGGATAAAAAGCAAAGGCTAGCATGAATCCAGCAGCAGCACGCAGCTTTCTGGGAAGCAGAGGCAGGGGAAGGCTCAGCCCGTGGTAGCCACAATCCCTCCTGGCAGTGGCTCTGGGAAGCCCCACCACACCAC